AAACATTTTTTTTTTGTAACGCTCCCATTTATTTTCTGTGTAGCGAGTTTATGTATAGTAGTTGCTGAAATCTGTACTAAATCCGAAAAATATTTTGACAAAAGATGTGAATTTGTCTGATGTTCTTTGTTCGTATTCATTCACATTTTATTACACAACAATTAACCAATCCTATATCTATTTCCAGATGAAAGTGATGTGTTCAACTAGTACCCGTCGCGGGCGGCGCTGCGGTCTGTACATAGCTTACAAATGATACATAACACAGAGCGTGTATGCTCAATACTTATATATTGAGGCAGACTGTTGTATCTACAACATGGTTTTACTTGATAGCTGTGTCTTTTACACTGTTTCTGTGGGTTAAAGCTTTATTTAATATAATGGTGGTTGAGAACAATAGTCATTGCAATAAAGGTAAACTTTTGCCTTAGCAAGCAGCCTTCAAATATTTCATCATCATCATCAACAGCCTATAAATGCCCACTGCTGAGCAAAGCCTCTTCTCACACGGAGAAGGTTTGAGCATTAATCTTATATTAATGATATTTAATGGAATAAATAGACAGAATTATGAAACCTCCTTTTTAGTAAGTTCATGCATGTTTGCCTTGTTATAACTTTATCTGAGTCTTTTTGGTTGTTTTCTATTGTATAATCTGGCTTATAGGTATTGCAGTGAGTTATTAAAAAGCTGAATCACTACATGGTACAAAACAAAGTCGCTATCCGCCGTCTGTCTGTCCCTATGTATGCTTAGAACTTTAAAACTACGCAACGGATTTTGATGCGGTTTTTTTAAACAGATAGAGTGACTCTTAAGGAAGGTTTATATGTATAATATATGCATATTGCATGCGAAGCCGGGGCGGGTCGCTATTAAATACATATAAACGCGATAGATATAATTATATCAAGGCAATTCACAAAATGCTTGTCGGAATACACACTCAAATGTAAGTTTTATTTGTCTCATATTAGCGACAGTTGGAATAATGCGAAATTCTATTAAAATACAGCTGTGTACCCACTAAAAGAAACACGCAATAACACACGCTATTACAACGTAATATAGATCAATAATTATAATATATGAAGTTTTTATTAGGTATATTGTTATGCAATGTTTGAACTATCTTACTCGATATGTTATTCTCGAAATCTGAGATTTTTGAGAATATTATAATTAGGACATTTTAGAGGCGTATTTTATAGGACTTTCTGGAAATAGTGGCGTCGTATGTATTCGTTAATTATTGTTAATTACAAAATAGTAGTAATTTGTTTGATATTGGGTTTCTTTTTAGCTATATTAAGAGGTGTAGTTATGCGAATAAGATGTCATAAATGACTAGACTATGTGTCATGACCCCTGTTACAAATCTCATCACGATCCCTCCATCCGTTTTGACGTGGTTGAGAAACCAACGTACATACATACAAACTACTTTAAATTAGTAATTTTCGCAAAACTATGTCCTATTTGTATTGTAACTCTCGTGAGACATACTAAATAAATTATTATGTTTTCTTCGTCTTACTCACGTAATAATTTGACAAGCAACTCGACTAGTTTCAAGCCATGCTAGAGGCTCATATTCATGAGCAGCATTTCACGACCCGCGACGCGGCGACTGTCGCGCTGCTACTGGCTACTCGAGTCTGCGGGCCCAGCGCGCCCTCTGCCGTGATTCACGCGCACTAGTCTAGTCTAAATTAGTCGAGTTCCTAGTCAAATTATTACGTGAGTAAGCCGAAAACATAATATTATGTCCTATTTATTTCTAATTTGCAAACATGTTCCACTGAAAATTGTTAATTTTCGTTAAATACTTATCTGTACTAGCAAATTGATATTTGTTTTACAATATTAATATCTTGCCTTTGCCAATACATAAATAAATGTAGTATTTAAGCTTGGCACATAATTATATGCAGAAACTTAGTCATCTTTATGAAAAATGCTATAATTTATTTATGTTATTGATTAAAATTTAAGGCATTGGCCACAGAAAGCTCTACGTAGAGACGAGTATAAGGAGGGTAGGAAGGCCTGCAGTGGGACGACCATGGCTAATAAAAAAAAATGTCTTCTATAAAATTATGTATGTACAGTATAATAGCTCAATCATAAGAACTTAGAACGGGTTTTTATCGTGTCCTATCATAATTGTACCAGACTTATAGCAATAAGATCCTTATTACATGCGAAAAAAGACATTTTATGGCGAAAATTAAATGTGACACCCAATATTGCGACATTTCATTATTTCTGCAGTGCCAATGATTATTAACTCTGTGGTAAAATAAATCATATTGCCGTTTTTAAGTTCTTGTTGACATTAGAAAATAGCCGTTGTCAACCCAAGTTCTACCCAACATTCAATTAGTTAGGAAGTTCGCAATCATTCTGTAAATAATGTCATATTGTTGATACCAAAATGTAGTAAATCATGTTGTTTTAATTCTGTGACGAGCTCACGACTTTTAGAATAATTTTAACATTAAGACTGCCATGGAATTTTCATTAATTAAGTTAATAAAAATTTACAGCGAGTATAATTGAAGTTTTCTTTTCTTTTTCCTTACACTCAATTATTCTTCTTTTTCCTTACACATAAGTATTACCAATCAATAATGGTAATCAAAGTAATCGACCATGCCATGAATACATCTGTACCAACATAGTGGCTGATTATGGATCCCTTCTTAGGGTCACTTTATACTGGGGCAGAGGCGAAGCGAATCGAAGCGTCTATTCAAAACTGAATAACAAATTCAACCTTAACCCAACAGCGTAACCCACGCATTGCTTCTAAGATTTTAAAAAGACGCAAGCATTCCTCGGAATTCGCTCGACTGCGCGTGACCAACGCTGATTGGTGCGCGCGCATTCTCGTGTATCCACACGCCCACTAGCGAATGGATAAGGACGAAAAATAAATTTTCCTTGTGCAAAAATTAGAATGCATATATATTTCATGCAGTTTATGCCCATTACCCACTACTCGTCAAAGAGTGCGCGCGTATACTCTCGAATACGCGCGCATTCGTGCGGCTTCGCTTTAGTTATGAAGAATTTGACGCTTCGGTGCGCTTCGACTCTGCGTTAGTATAAATTGACCCTTAAAGAAATCACGAAATTCTGAACAAATTCTTCAAAGGCATTTAGTACTGCATGTCGGGTATTGCACTGTTTTCCCACCAAGAAATTATCCAAATTCTGAAAAAAGTAGTAGTCTATAGGCACAAGGTCTGGTGAGTAGGGCGGTGGGCGGATGACGGAGAGATTCTAACTTCAGTTCTTGCAACTTGGAGATAGTCTGCTGTGCAAAATGAGGTAGCGTGTTGTCGTGTAGGAACAGCGGAGACGAGCGATTGACAAATGCTGGTTGGAGATGTGCCAGCTTCTCCATCATTGTGTTCAGTTCTTCACAGACATATCGGTAGTAATCATCCCGTTTGGTAAGAAGCTGTGATGAATCACACCGGCGCTAGACCACCAAACAGTGACCATTATTTTTCTAGGGGTAAGTTTTCGTTTAGGGTATTGGTAGGGTAGGCGCTGAACCAGGATCCAACTAACTTGTTGAGCGCTTGTGGTTTTGTCATCGCAGGTAACCGCGTTAAAAATTCCTTCATTTCTGCGTCTGAAGCAGTGCAAGGCACGTCTCGGTGCGTACTTCGCGCTGGCGATCATTGAGTTCAGAGATGCAAATAAATTCGAATTTGTAAAAGAGACTACTTTCCTAGATATTACTGTACTTAGACGACAAATTACAGTTGACCGACATAGGCTCAGTGAGACTAGTGTACTTACTTTAGCTACTGTCATAGCATTATGCCGTAGGCATTTTGCTGTAGAGACACGCTGCTGACATTGAGTCTATATTTATCTTACAAAAGCGCGCGAGATATCGACAGATCCACACTGTATAATTTATTGCTTTTTCGATCTCTTTGACAGGATTTTGGTTGTACACTGTTCTCGCACAATCGAACCAACAAAACTATGTAACTAGAGAATTGTATTGTAAACCCGTTTGAAAAAGAGTAGGTAACCTATGGAGTTTCTAACAGTGGAACAGAGTGGCTCAAGTAAGGACAGAATGGAAAAGGTTGGAGGAGGCCTTTGCCGATTGGCAAACAGATCTGCAAATGATCACCAAACAACAAATAATAGATTATTTTTTTACTATGTTGCTTTTAAATGTAAGTGTAACGTAAAGTTAAGGATCTGAATAAAAGGCTATATTATTATTATTATGGAGTTTCTTGCTCGTTCTTCTCCATAGGAATCAATGCCTTGGAATGAGCGGCTCCCGCTACACCGGGAGGCGCGGCTGCGGCGGGTTGCACCTGCGCGCTCTGCGATCTGTTGGTGGGCGATCGCAATGCGGCCCTCCCCCGGTCTAGAACACAACTGATTGTTTAAACTGTCAAACACCAAGCGGTCACCGGTGACCGCAACCTATTGTTCTATAATTGTGTCTACAAAACCGGTACTCGACGAGTTAACCGCCAGTCTTGCGATAATCATCCGCCTAGTTTGTGGGCGATAATCGCAACCGCGGCAGCTGGGACTGCAGGAAACTGCGGTCTCGTGAGTTTTGAAAATAAATCTTCATTCCGCCACCGCGGTGGGCGCAGGTGGAAATCACGTTCCGAGAGTGCACAAAACTGCGATGAGAAATCCCTACGCAAAAAATTGCGATGGAACTAGGTCGTGACATGGATCGCAAAAAGAAGTGTGCACTTCAGTTATTGCTTAGGATATATAGGACAAAGAAACAAAGGTTTTGGGGAAAATAAGATTTTGCTGCGCGATGCAAATCAATTCGCAAGTTTTTGTCTTGCGATGCGTAGAGGGAGCTCGCACATTTTTGCGATGCGACGTCGCATCGTAGTTTTGTGTACGAGCCCCGAGTCCTAAGCGTTAGGTGATGGCATACTTTTTATTCCGATTAACGTACGGGTAGCTAAGTAAATAAAACGCAAAATCTTCTAAAATGGTATTTAATTGCTAGCCACCACTGTATCCTTACATAACAACATTTCGTGAACAGCACAGTATAGAAAAATTAATCGAAAGTATCCTGTACATCAGCGGAAGGTGTTGAAGCCAGTGAAGCGATATTTGCGTGAGTTTCCACCGAAATACAGAACATTCGTTCGGGAATGTCGGCATCGTATGTACATACTATTTGCATGAAACCGGTTACAATAAATATTGATCAGATTCATTTTCACATCGTTTTGTTGAGATCAAACAATTTGATTTGAATATTCTATTTATGATAGATAGATAAATGCGCCGAAACTTGATATAACTATGTAGAATTGTGTAGAATTCACTTGTAACTATATTTTTTTCACAAGCCTTCCTTATCAAAACCCCGTCTGATAGATTACTAAAAAAATATTATACACGTATTTTTTATTTTCTTACATTTAAAAATCTTTCGATTTATTGATTTCAAATATCGCATGATTCCTAAACTTAAACACGTTTTTATCTAAGTTTTTACTTATAACAACCAATAAAAAGATACGTGTCGAACATAGTTTACCAATTAACAGACGAACAGACCAGAAAAATATTTCTTCTCTACCAATAACGCCCGCGTTTTCACACACATATTCTACAAGTAAATTCTACAGTGTTACTAGGAGATAGTGCTAGAAAAATCTCAGCAAAACGACTGCAAGAATGTTTAGTCGAGGGCAGCGGCACCGGAGATGATCTCGATAAGTTCTCGGGTGATGACGGCTTGACGGGTCCTGTTGAAAGTGAGCGTCAGTTTGTCTATCATCTCCCCGGCGTTCTTGGACGCGTTGTCCATGGCAGTCATACGGGATGATTGTTCGGAACAGGCTCCTTCCTTGAGAGCGTAGAACAGCATGGAAGCGAGGGAGAATTCCATGTAGGATTGGATCACATCGGCGTCCAATGAGTCGTAGGTCGCGAGCTTGGGGGCGTTCTGTAATGGAACAAGAAAAAAAACATTATTTTTGTTTTTTAATTCTATCATCACTAACTACATAGTATAAAATAAAGTCGCTATCCGACGTCTGTCTGTCCCTATGTATGCTTAGATCTTTAGAACTAACGCAACAGATTTAGATGCGGTTTTTTTAAATAGATATGAGTGATTCTTAAGGAAGGTGTATATGTATACATACATGAATATTTTTTTTTAAGGTGGGAAAATCATCGAATGACTGCTCCCGCCTGGGTGAGGCGGGAGGGAGTGTCAGACTCTTACTGACTAAAAACCACCCCGTTCCTTCTCGTGCACGTAGAGCCGGAGCCCCGGTTACCCGTTAGGTTCTCCGCGACACATACATGCATATTGCACCCGTGCGAAGCCGGGGCGGGTCGCTAATCATATTATAAATGCGAAAATTTGTATTTTTGCTACTCAATCACGTCAAAGAGGCTGAAGGAACGGGTTGAATTTAGATAAGAGGGTAGATTATGGTGTTATAAAACATAGGTTGCTTTTCCTCCCACATGTACACCGGGGAAGCCGCTGGCAGAAGCTCATGTAGTATCTTACTAATATTATAAATGTAACAGTTTGTTTGAATGTTTGCCCGTTAACCACGCTGAAATTACTCAAATAATTTTGATGAAATCTGGTATACAGGCAGGGTATTTTTTTTTTCTTTAAGGGGGGAAAATCATCGAATGACTGCTCCCGCCGGGGTGAGGCGGGAGGGAGTGTCAGACTCTTACTGACTAAAAACCACTCCGTTACTACTCCTGCACATCGAGCCGGAGCCCCGGTTACCCGTTAGGTTCTCCGCGACACAGGCAGGGTATAGGCTGACTTAGGTGATAGGATACTTTTTATCCCGATTGAATACTCCCATGTTATAAAACAGGAATCATATTCTACGGGGAAGAAGTCGCGGGCAACAGATTGTTGTATATAAAGCTACCTACGAAGTCATAATGTTATTGATTTTCAATTTTATCTCATATTTTATGTCAAGACTGCCTCGATGGCCGAGTGGTGGCAAGTGCGACTACCGGGCAAGGGATCTCGGGATCGATTCCCGGGCCGGGCAAAGTATTATTGGGCTTTTTAAAAAAATCTCAGTTGTAGCACGGAGTCTGGAAATGTGCCATCATATCTGGAAATTTTATCACAGTCTGGCAACTTAACACCAAGTTACAGTTTACTCCATCTGTTTTACAAAGCTTCTGCAGTGTGTTTCATTCCCCATTCAGACCTCTCCTATGGTTCTAAGAAAGGAAAAGACTAAAATTAATAAATGGTATAGATTAGAACCTCACCTCAACAGCCTTCTGGCTGAAGAGTGGCAGATCAGACTGCTGGTAGGACACGACGGAGCGGAACTTGTTGTAGATGATCTTGCCGGACGCGAACTCGTATCCAGACTCCAGGATAGCGCTCGCGATCTTGCACGCGTCGTTGAAGGTCGGGGGCAGGCGACCGATCTGGAATATAATATTGCAATGATAAATAGTAAAGGTTTTCTTCCTACCCCAAGCTATGAAGACCCAGTTCAGTATTTTTTGTTAGAGGAAAAATCAAAAATCTCTGATAATTTTAGCTAAACTGCCCCATTTTGATTAAACTAAGAATGTTGTATCACATTATAGTCAGTGGAAGGCAGATGGAATTTGGGTAAGACTCGGTGTAGACAGATTAAAAAGGCCAGAAACATATTTTACTTCAGAAAATGTCCTACACTTATTATCCTCTTATCTGTTGAAACACCGGCTCCCGGTATAAAACACATTATGGCCGCTAAATTCACAGACAAATATTCACAGTTCTGACAACGAATATGAATGAAAATCGACAATTCTAACTTTTCATAGCTTTGAGAGGTTTTGGGAAAAGAAATCTAGAAAAGCTTGTCCAAAGCCAAGGTTTGTATGTAAGAACTAACCTCATTGCACACACTGATGATGTGTTTCCCGTAGAGTCGCTGCAGGATACCGCGCGACTTGTCTCCGACACAGATGACCTTGATGTTCTCCGCGCCGGGCTCGGCCAGACGGGTGCGGATCACCTTCGACACACCCGTGTGGACAGCGCCGCAGAGACCTAACAATTTGACAAATAATATAAGTCACTATGTGGTCGTGGTGGCAGGGAGGCTTAAGACGCCGCTTCTGATTATGACACCGTGGGTAAGCTAAGCGTGGGTAGGAAACCTATCAGTACTAATATTATTTATATTTGCTTTTTATTTTTTACTTTTTGTTTGTTATTAGTTTTTGGTTTTGTAGACAAAAAGACAGGTGAACTAAACATCAGCCGCTAATAGCACCTCTTGAAATAACCTTGAGTTTAAGTAAACACAGGTTGAAGTATGACAATGTATTTGGTGATAAGAATTCTGTATCTTGCATAATTTTATGTGCATTAGAATAACAAGATTTGAGGGTCATACATACATACATACATACATAACTTCACGCCTGTCTCCCATGGAAGTAGGCAGAGACTATGATTTTTTAAGGGGGAAAATCAGCGAATGACTGCTCCCGCCTGGGTGAGGCGGGAGGGAGTGTCAGACTCTTACTGACTAAAAACCACCCGTTCCTTCTCCTGCGCTTCGAGCCGGAGCCCCGGTAACTCGTTAGGTTCTCCGCGACTCCGAATCGGCATCAGCCCTGTTGGAACACATCCGTGGTGGTCTGATGGCTCATTGAGGCGCGCGTGGAACGCGACGGGCCGTACGCTCTGTTCTGGTTCTGGTCGGACGGGGAGACACCCAAGGCACAGACTATGGAACGCCAATTACTACGATGCCTACATACCTCTTTCGCTTCATCGACCGTCATCAATCTTTTCATGCATGCTCGTCGGTTAAGGGTACTTTTAATTTGGCCCTTCTTTAATATTGATTTAGATTTGAGTTGCTTATAAGAATTTAAATAACTACTACAAATAAGACTTGACCGACTTATAATTTAGTAAAATTAGAAGTGTCAGCTTACCTCTGTCGGAGGTCATGGCGATGTACAGCTGCTTAGGGTCATCCTCCGGTGGGGCGACCTAACACAAGATGAAATAAAGTAAGACTTGATACAGTATTCATCATAGGTACCTATTACAATTCATTTGTGCTATTACAAAACTGAATTTAAATATTGCTTCATAATAGACATAATTTTGGCTTATTCTAAATAGGGTAGATGACTAATTTTTATTTTAATGTCCGTCTGGTAGATTATTTTAAATCATTATGTAGACACGTATTTTTTATTTTCTTACAGAAACGAATACTTTCGACGATAATTATATTGATTTGAAATGTGTGTCGCGTGACGTCACTTCTATGTACATTTTATACGTAGAAATGACGTTTTAGCCCCCACTCCTAAACTTTGATTAGTTTTATCTAAGTATCTTTTTATTACAAGATAAAATAAACAAATACGTGTCTAATATTTTTCATTATCCGACTGCACGGTTGGTGCGGTGGCTGGGCAACCGGCTGCCGTGCATCGTGTCGCGCGTCGATTCCCGCACGGGACAACACTTTGTGTGATCCACAAATTGTTGTTTCGGGTCTGGGTGTCATTGTGTATGTGAACTTGTATGTTTGTAAACGCACCCACGACACAGGAGAAAATCCAAATGTGGGGCAACGTTTTTAAAAAAAAAAATTACCTAACTAATTAGATTAATTTTCATACCCTGTCATCATCCCAAATGGCTCCATACATAATTCTATTTTTAGCTACTAGTCAATACTGGTTTCTCATGGAAAATGAGAAGAGACCTTCATTCCAGCTGCAGTAATTTTCAGTGGCTGTAGATGTTAAAAATTGTATATAGAATGGGTTACATTACCTCAGCCCTTTCGTAGAACTGGACGGCACCCTCGCCGTAGGGGCGAGCGGCCTTAAGGTCACGCTCAGCACGAGTGTACCTGGAAGTAACAAGTTATATTCCAAGTCAAAGCCAAAATCATTTATTCCAATTAGACCTGGCACTTTTGAACGTCAAAACAGAAAATAGAAATATTAAAAAAAAATGTCAGTCTGTAGGTCAGTCCTCTAGTGAAGCTACTTGTTCGTTCCAGTCTTTTTTTTTTGTAGGGGGAAAAATCATCGAATGACTGCTCCCGCCTGGGTGAGGCGGGAGGGAGTGTCAGACTCTTACTGACTAAAAACCACCCCGTTCCTTCTCCTGCACGTCGAGTCGGAGCCCCGGTTACCCGTTAGGTTCTCCGCGACTTCGTTCCAAAGTCTAGATTTCTATGGAGAAGAACGAGCAAAAAACTCCATAGGTGACTCTTTGTCAATCAAATTCACAATACAATATTATTGTGAATATATCCAAGTTAAACAAAGTGCAATGGAAATTGTACGGCTATCAGTAAAGATAGCCTTACCATGATTGCACCAGAGCAAGCTTATTCTTAGTGTAATAGTCCTAATTCTAATGTATTAACAAGAAGATGCTTTGAATGACTTGTTCTTTTTTTATATCTGATGGGCCAACATTTGACTATTATTTTGCCTGGTGGTAAGCGATGATGCGGTCTACGATGGAGCATGTCATCCCATAAGCAACCTATTCACTCAGGCCTTGAAGACACCCAGTGCCTTTAGCCAAACGCACTTTAGCGCTTGTCTACACAGAGAGTAGAAATTAAAATGTATGGAGATGACAAGCGTCAAAATTTACGTCAATTCCATATATTTTAGTTGAAGCATGGCTCTTCTACAGTTAAAGTTTATGTAGCTAAAATGGAAGTCTGTAAAATTACATAGGTACTTCTATACCATAATTATGTAGGATTTGTTTTCATCAGTAAATGAGTTGATTGTCTAATTAAACTGTCAAAAACCAAGCGGTCACCGGTGGCCGGTGACCGCAACCTATTGTTCTATAATTGTGTCTACAAAACCGGTACTCGACGAGTTAAATACATTTATATTTTCTTTTGACTACAGACTATGTAACTGTAAATGTAAGAAATGAATACCTGGATGTAAGGAGTCAGGGTGATATGTACTAGCAATCATCACACCACATTATCAATTATAATGATAATAATATTAAATATTTATCTAAAATCCTTAGGATAAAAAGTATATAAAGAAAAATACATGTAACAAACACTTATCAAAACTCTCAAAAATCTGTTTAGTGTGGACAACCCGGTTGAATTGCTACAGTTATTTCAATTCCCTACTATTCAATCAATACTTTTACGAAAATAAAATTTATGCTATCTATCAAAATTTGTGCAAAAAAATTGAAACTCCCGTCAGCCATGTCACAAGTCTAATTTGAATTTGGAAATTTGTTCACATCTGAATTCTATTTTCAAAATTTTATCTCATTACTGTAGAATAAAGCTTGCCACTCACTTAGCAGCTGACACCATCTTCATGGATTGGGTGATTTTCTGAATGTTCTTTACAGACTTCAGACGGATGGAAATGGCTTTCAGGGTAGCCATGTTCCTGTTCTGCTGCTGGTTGGCCAAAGCCACCACTTGGCAGACCCCTGGTGCTGCGCGACCCAACATTTTTACGGCTCTGAAAATTAAAACACAAAAATCAGATGATAGCAATGCAGGTTATGTCCTTAGATTTCCAAGTTATGTAAGAGCATTACACTAGCCGACATTGAACCACAAGTTTTAATTGAATTTTTACACTTAAACTGAAAGTAATGAAACAATTAATAAAACTATAATTTTACACTAATTCAGCGATAATTACTAACTTTTCAGGGCGTTTTTTTGGCCAAAATCACCTCCAGCCGACGGAAAATGTCGCTGGCCGAAACGTTTAACTTGGGATGACAGCGAAAAAAAATACGAAGCCAATGAAATAACAAAACGAAACTTGCAATATATTATAAAAAATAAATTCGTTTAAAATTGATAAATCAACTTAGGTGATTATGAATAGAAATGAGTAAAGTTGATTTAAAAATGTTGTAGATCACTTTTAAATTATAAAATAAATGTTCCAAGAGTTAAAAATAAAAAAATACATTTAGTACAAAATAACGCTCTATTATTCTCAAACATGCATTAAATTGGTATTTTTATACCAATTGGTATTTTTATATTATGATATCCAATGAGGTATTTTGCATACTTTCGGAATCTAAAATGATTTTTTCTCTCTTTACAAGCGAAAACTAAACGCTCCGAGCGAAACTGCTGTCAGTTGTCAAAGTCATACTAAATATTAACCGACAAAATTGAAAAGTTAGGATTTGTTGACAATATTGACTACATTAAACATTTGCAACTTTCGGATTTGATAGTATAATCTACTGTACCAACAACAAGTTTTTGTAGCTGATTTCCAATATTGTTTTCTTTATAATTAATTATTATCAAAATGCCTGAACCCGATAAAACTGCGCCTGTGAACCCGGAGAACATCCCTGAGCAGCCGACCAGAGAAATAAGTCAGACAGACCACTTAAATAAGAAGTTATTGACGTCTTTGTTTAAGCGGATGGATGAGGATGGTGACTCAGTGCTATCAAATATGTTGAAAGACGACAATAAAACAGAAGATCACGAGTGGGAAGACTAGATACGGTTATATTGTTAGTTTATAAGATTATTTGTAAGCATTCCTCGTGAAAATAAAGTGGTTTTATTATAAATTTGAACCATTTTATGTTTGTTTTCCTAATTACTTCCTGTTTCTATCTATGTAGGTATATTGTTAGTTTATCCCTGTATTTACTGCATATGATAATTACCTGAAAATATAGTAGGTACTCTAAAAGATACTTAACTTTATATTATAAATTCTAGATTTTAATTATTATACAGTTAATTAGCATGAGTACCACTATTACAGTCTGCCCCAGTATGAAACCAATCTAATGTGGCTAAATATTTTTCTTCCAAATTAAATTCCCATTTTGCTACTCCTAGCCACAACACAAACCTGGTTCTTAATTCAGGGTGCACTCTCAAATAGTATAGAAATACAGATAGCTTAATTATTTATGACTAGGAATCACAATGGCCAATGGGGTTTTACATAAATTAAAATT